ATATTTAGAAATTAAGGGAAACTACTCAAACTTATGCCTTTGGAAGGATTCCTTTTTGCATTTGAGTAAATTTAGTTTCAGGAGATCTAAAGTGTTAAAAATTCTGAAGACATATCAAGTATTATGAAAGTTTTTTTTTTGAAGGCATCTGTTGACTTGATTTTTTTCTTTTTTTTTTTTTTTTCTTTGTGGAAGTTTTTTGATGTAAATGGTGCCAAGTATCTAACTAACTTAAGAAATGTATATACTGACAGGGAATACTTGAAAATGGAAAATTGGAAATGAAATAGGTTGCTGGGTGCATTAATCATCTGCACAGGATTTAGTCACTTGCATGACTAAATTCTTTATAGGTCTGGGATGGCAGGGCAGAAGATTTTAATATGCTTTTACTGAGTACTGTAAAATAAATGCTTTTTGGATTCTCAATGAAAGCAGTTTTGTGTGTGTTCCTGGAGTAAGAAAATAGTAGTTCTGAGTTTTGTAGATTTCTCCATTATTTTCTTGACAAAATTGAGAGAAATTAGGGACATTGTCATTAAGAATATGTCAGTTTATTTGGCTAGTAAGAACCTTTCTAGTATTATGGTGTGAAGAGATAATAGCATTTGTTTCATTGAAAAAGTTGGGCTAACTTGACTGTTAAAACAAGGGAGAAAGAGAGGGAGGGAGGAGTTTGCTGTAAGGCAATCACTTGTCAAAACAGATATTAGGTGGGAAAGGACCCTTTATCTTGGGGAGCAAAAGTTAACTTTTAAACTTGACCCCTGCTGATTTTTAACAGCTTTTCCTTTTGGTCCCTGACGGTCATCCAGACTTTATGTCAGTCATTTCAAAGTATTATTTTTGTCTTCCTTTTGTAATAGCCTTTGAAAACTTAAAGGTATCATCTTAAGTCTAACATTTTTGTTGTTTGGGAGTTATGGTTCTTGGGTATAACAGTTTCCATGTTGTTAACTGTTGAAATAGAATAGACTTCCTCGAATCACATTTTAGGAAAATATCTATTTGGGGTTAGAATTCTTTAAATGAATGAGGCTTTATGCTTCCTGATTAGTTAACCTTTCCTATCGGTGGGAATCCTGAAATGCCTCATCTGTTTGAACTGTTTGGTAGTTTTATAAATGTTTTCACCAGCATGTTAGTGCATCCCCTTTTGAACTATATTCCTGTGTTTCCTGTAGGTGAGATGAGAAAGTAAGAGAATGCTATATGTAGCAGCTGGTCTTAAGAAATAGATGCAAAATGCCTGCATCAAAACTGTCCTAAAAGCATGTATTTTCACAAAACCTAGAATATGAAGGAAACAAAGGTTTAATGTGGCGATCACCAATGTTAAAATGATACCAAACATTTGTCATAGTGTCTACTTAATTGAGAATAGCTTGACAATTGGTATTTTGTGCTTATGAAAATGTAGCAAATTTTTGAATACTACTAATAGAATGTGGTATTCTTGATTATGATATTTTACTCATAATTGAATGCATTTAATAGAATAATTGAATGCATTTAATAGAACGTGGTTTTTATTCTACAAGATATATTTGATCTAATAGCAGTAGGATTCTGATGGTTTGAGAAGGCTTTAAGGATCATCTATCTAGTCCAGAAGTTCTCAAACTTGACTATACATCAAAATCACCTGGAGGTTAAAGTAAGAATTGCTGGGCCCTTCCTTTAGTTTCTTATTCAGTATATCTGGGTATGATCTCATAATTGTCATTTCTAACAAGTTTCCAGCTGATGGTGATATTCCTGTCCCAGGGATCACACTTTGAGAACCAATGATCTAATCCAAACTCCAAATGAGTACTATACGGAGAGCCACCTAGATATTTAGGGACACAGACTTAAGACCCATGACACACATTTTAGAGTGCTGCCTACCAGAGTCATAGAATATCTTGATTGAAAATCTATAGCTGAAGAGGCCATATGCCATTGACACTAAGACCGTTAAACTATTGAGTGTGAAATGGGATAGACACTTTGCAGGTAGAGTGACCATTTTTTTGCATTAGTATGTGACAGTGGTTTTCAGTGTTAATTCAGAAGCTGACTAAAATGAGAACATGATTAAAATAGAGGCATGGCCTACATAATTAGAATCAACATTTTCTCCCAAACATTTTTCGAAAAGAATATCTTTGGTCGAAGGGAACATTTTCAAGTATTTGTCTTCAAGATTAAAAGGCAATAATTTAAATTCTTCACACATTCTACTAAGGATTCTAAAAGAAATTATTTTTGAGAATTTAAGTCCAGGTCATGGTAAGCACATATGTGTATCTATATACATGTGTATGTAAGTGTATACACTCAGTTTCTTAGCCAGACTTTCTAGGAATTTGGTCAATTCAGTGTCATGTAGTTCTGCAGTTATCTTTCTGGGACAGTACATCCCATAAAACTGCCATGAATCTTGTTTTTTTTTTTTTTTTTTTTAATGTGTCTTAACCTTTTGGAACTGTGAGTGAGTGTTGATGTTTTATATTAATTTGAAGGAGGCAGCTATTTGTATTAAACAGAAATCTTTGAGGAAATGCTTTTCTTAGGAGAGTTGAAAGTATATACTCTTGTCCAATTGACTAAACTTGCTATTTTTAAAATGAATTATCTGGCAAAATTATATGTGGCTAAGTTTATCAGAGGTTTGAAAATGGACGGCTGGTTTATTTGTAATATTGTTCAAATGTAGCAAAAAAATATTTTTTTAAATAGGAAAGGCAAAGATTATTGATACATTGATAATAAGGTGACCCAAAAGGGCCTGAGATTGTTCCTTCATTGTCAGAGTTTGGTTGCAGTGGAAATCAGCAAACAGCTGAAATCGATTCATTCATTATTCGACAAGCATTTATTGAGCATATACTATTAACTGTGCTGTAAGGACTAATGCTTAAATTGGAGGAAATCAGGCACAAGAGCAACAACTTGGTGCTATTATCACCATAAACTGTGAGAATAGCATGTATTAAACAATGGAGGCATAAGGAAAACCACAGCTACATGTGCCATCAATATTAATCCTGTGGGTCTTTCTGGAAGGCTATAAAGTGGGTTAATTTGTTGAAAAATAGAATTTTATTTTAAAAAATCTGCGGATATTGCAAATAAAAATGGACCCGATGAGATTTAAGTAACCAATAGTTGTTTTGTTGCATGTGGAACTCTAATTCTATGCATAGTTTCCAACTTCCTTTTTGAGATTAGCTAAAATTGAACATTTCGAAGTACGAAATCAGTTTGCTTTCATATTTTCATCTGAAAGGGAAGAAGAGAAAATGGAGAAAAAATCTTATGAAATTTGTTCACTTTTTTTTTTCATGAGGAAACAAAAAGGAAAGGACAATTTAAAGAAAGAAGCAATTGTTGGCATACAGTCTTTGGGGTTT